ACCGTTAAAGACATCTTAAAACATCTAAACGTGTTGCAAACTCCCTTTAATTGTTGATGTGTTCTGTTTGTTATGTCGTTATAAGTATTATATTTGATCAAAGGTCGGCCACCCAGACTGCTATTTTATACCTAGATGCACGAATAAATGAGATCAAGAAGTCTTTCTCAGTGCTCGGTTTGTTATCTTTTCAATCAGTTGAGCACACTGAAGAAGTTTCATATCGAGAGTGAGTATTATGTTCGACGTCGTCTTGAAAATCCTTTTGACTGTCACAAGTGATTCACAGAATAGAACACGTATATAGAAATTTAAAACTTACTCGCAATGAGTAAAAATGGGAACAATGACACCGAACTGAGCAAAAGAAAATAGTGAGGTCTTCTCCAAAAAAGATAATAATATGTTTCCGTTTTCACTCGTTCACGTTGCGTTTTTTGCTTGGCGGAAAACTTTTCTCTGAAATGATGATTAGAAAAAGGAAAGTTTTTCCCAGAACAACAACGTTTTACTTTTCTACTTACATTCTTTCACATCTCGTCTTATTGATTGGTTGAAAACGTTTCCAAGTTGGTAACAGAAAATAACGATGATTTTTTTCCAAGAAAACATGTCTACGTGCTGCACTTTCACTCGTTTGTATTCCATCGTTTTGATTGCTGAGAAATCTTTTTCCAAACTAGTCACTAAAATTACAATAAATTAATTGAAAAAGAGAAGGATTCTATGGAAGCAGTGCAAACAGTATTGCATTTCTCGTCTTTTTCTCAAAGTTTGCGACGCATCGGACTCTCTATTTGTAAAATGACAAGAACAAGCTAACGGTCGTTTTTTTGTTGCTAGCTAGTTTTGTTTGCCAGTATTACTCATTAAAAGTGACCTAGAATAAAGAGCAGTGAGGAATTATTTCTTAGAAAAAATAACAAACGAACGGATTCCTTTGCAGTGAGTTTTTTCCTACATCTCTTTATGTAAGCTTGGGTACTAATGAGTTCCATCAATGATCCGTTTTACTTGAATCGGTGAAAACATGGATAATTTCTCATGTTCTGTGTTTTCTTGTCGTGGTTGTTTCGACAAATTCGTCGTGAAAAAAAACTTCATTCTGTGCATTAAAACTAACTTTTTGAGTCTTTCAATGAAACTTATAATGATGCGAAACGGTCTAAAACTTTTTTCTGCGATTTTTTTCCTCCGAACTTGTACTTGGTTGGGCGAAGAAAATACTTTTTACTAGAAAAACCTTGTGAAGTTTGAAGAAAACGAGCCGACTAGTCAAATATCGTTCTTCTCCGTGAACAAGTTGCAGTTTGTATGCAAACAATCGAATGATTGTCATTTCCTTTTCTATTTAACGAGTCCGATGTCTGTAAAGTCATTTTTATTCAAACAGTCAGAACGTCAATAAAATGTTTGAAAAACAACCACAGCACGATGTCCGATAAAAATACTGGTAACGAGTTGACAATATTGTGCCTAGATGAACTTCCTTTCACAGCTTTCTCGTTGATGGCAATACGGAAGGCAAAAGACTATGTGAAACTGTTCACCCAAGGCTTGACAAAATTGCAGTGATAATTTCATATTATAAAGTTTAAGCTTACGATTGAACATGTACCGACTGAAATAATTATCAGCTTTTTATTATCTTAGCTCTAAAAAGTTGTATAAATAATTGAATCTCTAATTGACATTGACATTTCTATTCGAATATCATTCGAATCATTTGTATCTTTACTGATTTGAATAAGAAGTATTTATTACTACGTAGACGTAGAACTCTTCTCACAATCGTGACTACTGTTCCTTCGTTTTATTTTGTTGAAATATTTTCTAATACAATATTTTTTTAATTATTAACTCAATAGATTTTCTTCGGTATAAAATATTTCAAAGTTTGTTCGAGACAGTAAGCAAGTGGTAATTCCGAATGAAGTCTTCGAAAGTCTGATTCTGAATTATACATGTCACCCATAAGAGTTTTGAAAATAAGACAAAAATCAACTAAAAAGAAAGGAAGAGTTAATACCCGAGAAGACTCAGTCGGTACAAATTTTGGCGCAATAGTTCTTCCATTATACCGCATTTCGATGACGTTTTGTCTTGAAATCGAATGAATTTAAATAAACTATCATTATAGAAAAGATGATAACCTTGAATTTGTTATTATTAAATTAGTCAATGAAAAGTACTTGTTGACTCAATTATCATATTGTTTCTTCGATTTTATTCTTATTCGTTTAGTGTTTCATAGATGGAATTTTTTGTTCTTTCATTGCTATTTGAGGGCTTTTAGTGTAATTGCTATTGTCAAAACGGTAACAATAGTGTGAAACTAAGACAACTTGACTACTGATCTTGTCAACTATTAGAATACAGAGTTTGATTAAAAATGATTTTATTCATATAAAATATGCGAAAAATAGAATAACAGTGAAAAGATGCATGTGGAAGTAAAAATAGAAATGAAAGTTCTTAATTGATGAGCTCTGGAATGACCTGTTGTGGTTGATACATTAGTTGTCGTGAATAATTGAAATGGTTCATTGTTGCTCAAAGAAAATGTACAGCAACACTGAACTGCTCGTGTCGTGGCAATCATCGTTATGTCGTACTAAATCACTCCTGCTAAATAAAATGAACTCAAAGTCATTCCGCGAGTAATCCGAGTATTCTTTGTTGACGTATCAGTCTGGACATTTGAGTTTGCCAGTCATAAACTCAATCTGTGAGCTATTTACATTATCCTATATCAACTCATGCTGAGAGTTTATCATGAAAATTTCACCTCGATCTGCGATCCATGGGAAAAGTTGGTCATTTTGTAGTGCTGGACCCGCTTCGAACGAGAACATCTATGTATCAACAAGAGATTGTGTGGTGTGGGCATATGCTGAGAACAACAACACCCACACCCAAGCGAGTCATCGATTGCGCTGTCAAAATGAAATATAAAATTGTCTAAATCATTCATTGTCACGATTGTTTAAGCTTTCACAGTGCCACGAACTACTTACTGTGAATAAAGGTACTGATGATTCCTTCATGGTAAAGAAATGTTCAGCAAATGACTAAAAAGAATAATCAAAGATCTGCGTGATCCAAAGTTCATAATAACTAGAGAAACTCAAGTAAACATCGGGAAAAATGATACATATTATCGATGGCATCGAAAACAAAGACTAACTTTTCAATTGTGGCCAAAAGTGTAACCTTTTTTAGACTGAGGGATGTGGGTGTTGAAATTCTCTCTCGTCACACTCACACCCTATTTAGGCCAGTCAATCTCATGTAAACGACATGGTCCATTAATCAGATTAGAGCAGATTTGTCCGACAATGATCACAAAAATTGATTGAATGTGTTGCTTTTACTTTAAATTTAATAATATAATTAATTACACTTGATTTTTCGCTGGAAAACCTCTGAACTCGATTTGAAGAATAATCCAATGGAATCTGTTTCGTTCGGATTAATTAAAATAATTGATTAAAACCTGATTAATAATGGCGGAATCATAGGGTGTTTGGAGATGACTCAGTCTTCTCCGGAATTGAGTTTCCTCTTGAAATGAGACTATTCTATATTATATATAAAGAGAAGATGCATGCTTTTCTGCTTCAAATTAGAACCGAGACGGCCGCTATAGTTTTATTCTGGTCCTTCCGCCGTAGATTTAAATTGATTTTTTCTTTAAAATGTAAGTGAGAGATTTATAATCTAATAGACTTCACTTGGTTTCACATTCAATCTATTAAAGTAGATTCGCTCCTGTGCAATATATTGAAATTGATTTTTTTCAAATCGGTGAACATGTATTGAGTCATTTTTTTCCAATAAAATTAATTAGAAGAAGATTAAATTGACATGACATATTTTTTGTAGACTGAAAAATCAGGTTTCAATATATTTCAATAATAGAATCCAAATAGATTTTCATCTGATTTACCGTGACAAATCTCCGCATTGACAAGCTTTATTCAATATTGAAAAAAGTTTGCTAGTTATGGATGACAATTTCGACTCTCGTTTTACTTTTCGGGATAGTTTAGTGCAAAAGTAAGTGTCATTTAGTTATCTATACTCCATGATTTCTTCGTGATATAAACTTTATAAGCTAAGTGATTATAGTCATAAAGTTGGAAACAGAAAGATTTGAATCGTGGGTAATCAAACCTAATCTTATTTTCAAAATATAGCTGGATTAAATTGTATTTTCCAAAGTTAATTACTTTTCTTGAGTAAAAATCAGACCCTCTCCCCCTCCCCCCCAATATGTACTTGCTTTGGCAATATTTAGTTAACTCCTCGGTTACAACGACTTTCGTCTGTTGAGATATAAAATGACTTTCACATGATTTTCATGATTTATTTGACTTTGGTAATTTGAATGACCTCGATGATTTTATCGATTCGAAAGTCAATTAAATCATCACAATCAGCCGTTTCCCTCTTGGATTCCATGCACTTAATCAAAATTTTCTAAGGATTGAAATAAATTAAGATAATTATTTTTTTAATATAAGTAGACATGTACCAAATCCGAACTCAATTTCGAGTTTCAATACTAAGTTTTACAAGATTGAGCTCGTTCGAAATCGAACTTTGAAGTTTCAGTTTGATTCGATTCGGTTTGGGTTTGGCTCATGTCTAAATACTAGTTTCTTTATTATCTCTTTATTGCAACCAATGATTTTTTTTTATAAGAAAAATTTGTAAACAGAAAAACATAAGAAAGATTTCTAAATATATATTCACATATTGATTCTCGTTTGTTCTATTAAATGATGTCTTGAACTTTTTTTTCTCTCGTCATTGTTCTGCGTTTTGTTTCTATGGATTTTATAATTCTATTGTCGATCATTGTGTTCGATAATGTATTGAATAAAAAAGAATACCTTATAATAAAGCCATACGGTAAAAAGAGAAAAGAAAACAAAGGAAAAATTTTGTTTTTCTTTTCATATTGATACTTTTATGCAAATGAAAAAGCAAATTCAATGAATACTATAGAAGAAAATTTAGAAACATATTTTCTTATTTGGCTTGATAATTCAACTGCAAATAGTCAAAAGAAACAACATACTCAAGCGGAACTTCAATCATCAATTCATTATTTAAAAATATTTTCCGATGAAGAACAATGTGAAAATTATATTCGATCATTAACGAATGATGATAGAATCATATTTATTATTAATGGTCAATTAGGAAAAAGATTTATTCCTCGAATTCATCAATTACCACAAATAACTTCCATCTATGTTTTTTGTGTCGACAAAAGCAAACACCAAGCATGGGCTAATCAATATAAAAAGGTGATATTTAATTTTACATTTTTCTTTATGAAGATTTCTCTATTGAGGAAAGAAAAATAATAAAAGAAGTCTCAGAAAATGTTCTCCCGAAAAATCAAATTAATTCAGACAATCATCATTAGTTCTATATCACTTTCTTATAAGTATATTTCCACTTGAATATAATCTATATAAAAACATTTGATTTTGTTCGGATACAAACACAATGATGAAACTTTCTAATAATTTGAAAACTTTTTTGAGAGACAAGACCTTCAAAGTTAAATCTTCTATAATAGATTTATTAAAATTTGAATATTTTGAGAAAATCGAATGTTGAAGTATATAGGATAGAAATTCACAATTCCCCACAAATAAATCATATATCAGTACCGTCTTATTAGAATATGTTAGTGGTGGAGCCAGGATTTTGGGCCAGGTCGGCTCAATTCATCCTGATAAGTAAAATAGGTCTGTAAAAAATTTCTATGGAGAATGGTGCGGGGACTGATGACGGAAAGCCTCCAAATATCACATCCTTTTTCGAAGTAGGATATATTCAACTCTATAAGCAATAGAATGGTTTAGTTTTACCGACTGTTTGCTCTTGAGATATTGAAACTTTCAATACACAACTGTAGTCACGCGTAAAATTGACTTTCGATTTGCATGAACGAAGTTCTTAATAAAATAAGTTAATTGTGCGGTCTATAAGTTTTTTTGTACCCGGACCCAGGTCCATTTGAAGGACTCTACTTGTAGTTTCCACCATTACAATATGTAAACTACTTCCTTATTGCATTGCTAGACTATAAAGTTAACAATCACGAAAAAATGTGCCCTAAATTCGATTGGAAAAAATCAATTTTCATGTGATTAACAATAATAGCTTCAGCTCGTTTCACATTTGCATCCCACAGGAATTGCGCTAATAGCTTTTCGAAAATTTGGATTTTCTACAAAGAAGAATTTACTGAAGATCGAAAAAATTTTGAAAATAGATCGGGTTTGTTCAATAAATGCACAATTTTCTACTAAATACTTCAGCGATGAAAATATTCAAGCAGAAAATAATCCAAGTTGAGTGATGATTATTTAATAATTAAACAGGACTCATCTATTTTCGGTATTAGATAAAATGTTTAGTAAGTCAATATGATGAACTCGCTTCTCAAATTGGACATGATCAAGAACGAAGAATTAAAGCGAAAATTGACGATCCGTTATCAATAAGTATTCTTGATGAAAATCTGACTAATACTTCNTACTAATGGAAAATTCTGTTCACCTTTTTCAGATACCTATATTTACATAGGAAAAAGCAGTGATCATTATCTAAATCGTCCACTTATTCCGGCCAAAAATGTCGTCACCTCGTTAAGTTCATGTCACTTGTTCTACCTAACGGATACGTGCTGATACAATGGGTCCATTTCAAAGAACAGCTAATGATGCAACTATCGCAAAACAAATTATTGAAAAAAGAAATGAATTAATGCGGTGGGTGTGGGTGTGGGGTGCGGGTGTGGGTGTGTGGGTGTGGATGTGCGTGTGCGTGTAGGTGCGGGTGTGTGCAGTGAACATAAAAAAATCCACAACCCTCCCACACCCACAACCCACACCCCACACCCCACATCCATACCCACACCCATACCCTAGTAGAAATATTATATAGAAATAAGAAAATTATTCAGCTGTACTTGTGACCTTTTCACAAGCTTTGTTTTTGATGGAGTAATGCGATTTTATTTAATCAAATACCAACATAGCACATGCTATGCTCTAAGTTACTTCATAGAGAGTTATACCAATAGTTTCGTACAATAGAAAATATTTTTATTATTGAATGAAACGATAGAGAAATCTAAAACATTTTCTACTTGCTTAAATAATCAGTAATTCATTAATTATTGCTTGATCTTTTCTGGATGTGAGTGTGGCTGATGAACGTTCCATACCCGACATCCGAATTACAAATTGAAATCGCATCGATTGATTCTTTTGAGCGGAAAACTTCTCTTAAAGTCGATAAAACGATTCGTTGTCGAATACAATTCGGTTTAAGTAAAAGCAACATCCTACTAGCATTTCTTCTACATGACATTGAATGGCTATTGTTTCCTTTATTTATGAGAAACAACTTTCGAGATTCAAGTGTAATATGCTCGTCTAAGGGAATATCAATGCATATATGTCAGAATTGATGTCGGAATTCAGTTAAGTTTGAAAAATACAAATAAATCTTAGATAATTCTCTTTAGAAAAGAATTATAGAAGATATAGAGTTTTGTAAACAAGGTGATCTAATTGATTTAGGCAATTTTTTATAGAATAAAGTCAAATTAAACGGTATGTATTGAAAATGTCGAAAGAAAAAATGTCAAAGGGAAAAATATCGAAAGAAAAAAAGATCGAATGAAAAAAAATGTCGAATCAGTGAAAATGTTGTTAGATGAAAAATATAAAATATTTATTTTATTTCATTGAAAAAAAGGAACAATGCGTTCATTGATAACGACAAATACGTAGCTAAAGAAAGTGAGTCATTCGATTGGTCAAGATGTACACGATTAATATAAATTTTATGCTTTTTTCGCGATGAGTAATGATAAGTTATCCAACAATTGCGCAAAATCGATGTCGTTGTTGCTGTAACGTGACATAAGAGTCTCCATACGTTTTTAAATATCATTAGTAGAACTTGAACTTGGTCGCAGTTTAGCAGATGTACTGATGTGCACGTATAACTGTTGAAATCGGCTTTCTTCACTAGCAATGCATCTGATGAATGGGTTCAGTACAGGTGCTAAACGTTGGCCAAGTTCAAATTTTACTAATGGTATTCAAAAACGTGTCGATACTCGTATGACATGTTACAACAACAACGACGTCGATGCTGAGCAATTGTTGGGTAACTTATCATTGCTCATCGCGAAAAAAACATGAACTTTATATCAATCACGTACATCTGAACCTAGGGATGTGTAGTTTCAGTGCAAATACTGAAATACTGACATTGAAGTCACCGACACACTGAACACTAATTACTGACTACACTGCACTGGCAACACTGGCACTGGAACTCAACTGATACCGAACATCACTGATGTACTTATTCATCAAGAATGTGCAAATACGCAACTGCAGTGCAACTGCAGCACATCAGTGATGGTCGGTGTCAGTTGAATGCCAGTGACAGTGTTGTCGGTGCAGTGTATCCAGTACTCAGTGCTCAGCGCTCAGTATCTCGGTGATTTCAGTTATCAGTAAAGTGAAACTGCACATCCCTATCTGGACCTATCGAATGATTCATTTTTTATAGCTATTTATCGTTATCAATGAACGTATTGTTCTTTTTTCAATGAAATAAAATAAATATTTTATATTTTTCATATAACAACATTTTCATTGATTCGACATTTTTTTTCATTCGATTTTTTTTTGAGTCATTTTTTCGACGTTTTTTCTTTCGACGTTTTCATAGTAAATCAATTAAACATGCTAAATAAAAATTTTCATTGTTTTCTTTTTTCTATTATTGAGTTATCAAAAAAGAATCTGATTCAAAATTTAGAAAGAATGATAATGCATGGTCTGCCATCGATTCTATTATTCATAAAATAAATTTAACTTTAGATTTCATTAGTGCTTACCATCATTCTTTATGGTCTGAGATCATAATTATACGCCACGCACGTAGCACGTTTCACTTATATTTGTAGAAGCCGCCTTCATCAACCCTGTAATCTTATAAATATATTTTTAAAAAAATTCACCCATCACTCAATGTCTGCGAGATAAAAGAAATATAGCTTGAACATATGCACAATAAAACAAATAAAGTGCAATTTATTTACATGTATTAACTGTTGGAATTTTACCAATAACTTAATGCTCCTATACTTCAGAAATATATTTTCGAAATATAGTTTTTATTGAACAAAATAAATATAGTCAACTTATTATTATTTATATATTAACGCTCTAAACATATTTCTCTTTTCGAATAAAATTAAAAACATGATAGCGCGTTTTCTCATCGTAACAACACGAAACGCACAGAAAGGTAGAAATGAAGGACGAACGTTGTAGAAATGCAATATAAGCAGTCATCAGTGTGCCGATTCAAAATAGGTACCTGTCTAATAAAAATGTCATGCTTCGCCAATTCACTAGAGCACAGCTAAATTGAAAAAAAAAGTAATTTCGTCGGTGATAAATGCGGTAAAATCGATTCAGAGAGAACAAAACAACATTTGTACATTTCTGTACCACTCAACAAGTACGTATATTTGACTTTTAACATTATTAGAGAAGCAATAACATAAAAGTTGACAGTTAAGAGTAACTACAAATAACAAAAAATGAGAGCGCATAGATATAAGGCGTTTGAATGACCAGACAGTAATTTTAAGAAAGTTTCGATTAAGAATGGTCAGCTGTTGAATTCCATAATCTTGATTCAAGTAACTGTTAAACGCACAATAGTATAGATCGAGAAGAGGGAGAAGTAGCAAGTAAATAAGAAAAAATTCAATTTAGAACTGCTACAAATAGTATGTTTTCCTTTTTATTTCAAACTGAAATTATTATAATGTTCAAGCTTTCACGTTCCTTTCTGGACACATCATCTGGAATGATTATATGAAAGATTACATTTAATCTATACATGACAAGACAAAAATGATAAAGGAGATAGCCTTGGAGAAAAGACAAGGAACATTAGTAAATTATTTATGTTTGCGATTCAAGAAGAACTTTAATTAGTTATTTACGTTTACCATATAATAAGAATATGAATTAGTAATTAGCGTTTCCATTCACGAAGGTAGTTGATTAAGTTCTGTTTATATTAGAATAAGACAATGAATCGTTAATTTATATTCATAATTAAGTAAGATAATGAATTAGTTAATCATGTTAATAATAAACTGATAAGTGTATAATTATTCAAAATATGAAGAGTTGGTGAGTATGAATGAGCCATAGATGTCATAATACCCATTCACTGGGTATCGGGAGTTTAACGTCAAAATACCCATGAGTATCCAATCCGTGTGCATTCACATTTAGATACTACGCATTACTCCTTCTCAAACGTGAATAGGCCCCACGGAGGAAAAAACTGCAATTCCAGTTGAGGAATTTGAGTTGTTTTGGTGTATTACCCCAGTGGCGGGGCAGCACCAAAATATTTGGTGCGGCAATAATAATTTTGGTGTGGCAAACGCTGGAAAAATCGTTTTGCTCATCGAGTTTTTGTCTAATTATCAGTTACTTCAAAGATTTTTGGTGTGGCAACTGCCACATCTTGCCATGCTGATAGCCCGCCACTGTATTACCCTTCAAGCAATGTGTATTGTACGAGAAGCCGAATACCTCAACTTTTCGGATATAGTTATATGGGACACGATATCCTATGAGGGTAGCCCACCAGAAGAATAATTTGTTAGCACTTCGTTGATGGATACTATTTGAGGGAAAATTAGAGGAGTCGTTACCGGGTGTAACAGTATTAGGACATCACTCTTATATTTTTCAATGTGTTCAACGAGTTTTGAGTCTGATGGTAATAATTTTACTTTTGCTCGATGCTCATTCACATCAGTTTTTTTTTCATCCTACTCATTTCACCAATATACACTGTTTTACAGTTTAATTATGGACTTGAGTAGACTAACTTCTTTTTAGTTTTGGATTGATCTTTGCCCTTGAGATTGAGATGTTTCTTAAAAGCAAACTGAATTTTTATTTTAGGCAGAAGTTTACGATATATTTTTTTTCTTCTAGCAGCAAATACGAGGAATTCTTGTCCATAGTGTCTGATTTTGAAAAAGATGCCTTTATTATCCGCATTTTTTTTGGTTGTTTTTATTTCCGTTTGAGATATTTTCTTAATGTTTATTTATTCTTCTTAGATACCAATTTTTATTAATATTCAATCTTTTTAACAAAGTAGTCTTATCGGAAAGCATGTCAAAATCAATGATCTTTACGATGCTTAGATTTTACCAAGGACACTGATACAGAAGCGAATTCAAGCACGTCCTATGCAAGTTTTTTAACGGTGTAGAAACATCAAAAAGAGCCTATTCGAATCGTGATGAATTCAATTGAAACCTAAGATATGAACATCTAAGCATAGCAGAACTTTTTCACAAAAGTTAGTCTATTTCTTCATCGGTATCAGTGTTGGTCAAAGAATGGAGCGATAGGATGAGTTTCATCATTCGATATTTTCGATTTCCTGGTTCTTTAGGTGAGAACATATGTAAGATTATGGCTGTACGATTGATTTACGAGCACACCTCACATCAAGATACTAGACATTTTGATGCATGTTCTCTCTAGAGTCTCAGATTTGAAGCAAAATTCAGAGGTATGCTTTTCCTTGGAAACTGGACTTCTGCAAGCAAAAATGTACTGAAAATTGATATCTCAGTAACAAAGGCTCAACAGAACAAATCAATTTAGGATGTTTGCTTATTCACTAGGCCCTATCGCTTGAATACAGTCCCGACTTGAAAGCGACTTATCGATCGGGGAGCCTCTCTCATGAAGTGTAGGCTACGTTGCAGTAGTGATTCATTTACATAAGGAAAATACTTGTGGCACATTGGTTCACTCTCTTGAACAATGATCTCACATATTGTTGAAAGTCATGACAGTTATAAGGAGTTCCTTGGATTCGGTGAGATTCAGTGCATGAACAAGCAGTAGATCTACAGTATGATCTGTTCGATAGTAATATGAACCATAAAGTGTAGCGATCGTTATTCTTTGAACAAGAATTATTACCGAATATGAGTTGCATTTTCTTGTTTTAAGCTCTAGTATTTTCGAACTTCTTGTCTGTTATATATTAAAGTAGTTTCTATCTAATACTACATGGCAACAACTGAAAACTCATTTCGTAAATAACATCATTCTATGAGGCCAAATACATACACTGACTTGATTCAGAATTCTTCCGTCCAGAAAGGAATTACTCATGATACTGATGATCCGGTCAGGTGGTCTGCAAATTCAACATCCTCGTGAGTCTATTCTCTTTAGCTTTCTATCTTAATAATCATATTAATCTATTAAAACAAGGTTTCTTCAATCAACAGTTTGCTCGATTCTTGAAGTTATTTCTTTTATAAGCGTCGCAGTGGCCATTGGCACTATTATAGTTTGTTTCACTGTGCCAAAACAACAAAGTATGATACTCTCTCATTATTTTATTTGTAAGATATTCCTAAAATTTATAGGAACAAAAATATTTTAGCTCTAGTTTCATTCTTACTAGTACTTTTCAATTACTCATTTGTTTGCATGCATGATATTCGTATATGTCTGCTCGAAAATAATCTCCTACTATTTCAGTGGATATATTAGAAGTAGAATTGACAGGGAGTCTGGGAAATATAGTTAGAATACTGTTCATGAAAATCAGATGCATTTTTTTTTGTAAAGTCTATCTCGTTGAGTTCTCTATAGAACTGTAATTGTTTAGTTAATTCAAGAGAATATCTTCCATAAAAGTACATACTCTCTGAACTTGGTCCTGCGAGCAACTTAAGAAATGTCACTCTTAAATTCTATTATATTAAACAATTTGAAACAAAGGAAGATAATTTCACAATACCCGATAATTCAGCAACCTTCATATCAATAAAAGAATTCGTCTTACTATTCTTCTACAATTTAGTAACTGAGACCAAAATTAATAAGAAAATCTCGACTCGATTCGGTTTGAGTCTCTGTTTCGTAATAGTTGCTAGAGAACGTTATACAGCACATCCACACAGTACTCTTGTTAAAGTTGGGCCCAAATACGCTGTGAATATTAACGTAGTTACTTTATTTCATCTCATTTTCCTCGTCATTTACTGCATGCAAGAGAAAGAGCGAGCAATCCGAGAAAATATATCAGCAATATAAAAATAAGACGATCCGATAAGCAATAAGAATGATCGAAAAGAGAGACGACAAGAGAATGATTAGTGATAATGAAACGATGTATCACATAGAGGGTGCATATATATTCGGAATATCATTAACGAAAAGTTACTAAAAGAAATGCATACCTATTTCTCTGTAAAACTGGATTTATCATTGAAACAATATTGCACTTCAAACTTATTCTTATAAGACCCCTAATTAAAATCTTTTGCAAAATGAAAATAACATCTCCAGGGTACAGTGAATATTATTCCGATTAATAAACACTTGCATTTTTTCGAACTGAACCATGAACATACTCAGTGCAAGAAGGTTCCTAATCACATCAGAATATGATTCACAAGATCTCAAAACAGAATCATACATCCATCTGTGAAACAACTCGTGGCTTTCAAATTTGAGTAACAATAATCAATGTTTAAAGTTAGTTTTTCGCGTGAGTCTCTTTCGTTTGAAACATAATGTCAGATTCATGAATGTTCTAACTTCAAAAGTATGTTTTTTATGTGAACCTCTGCTAGAGACACCGATCGATAAGCTATGCGAGAAAACATTTCCTGCTCTTCATTCAGATAGGCAATGCGAGCGTATTTTAAAAACAACTTTCGAATATTCAACCGGCTACAATTCTCATCCACGGTCAGCTGCCATTGGCGACTTTAACAATGACACCCAGCTAGATATTGTTGTAGCCAATTCTGGTACAGACACTGTTGGCATCTTTCTCGGCCATGAAAATGGGACATTTCAATCGCAAAAGACTTATTCAACCGGATCTGAATCTCACCCATATTCAGTGGTGGTGGGTGATTTCAACCATGATAATCAACTAGATATTGTCGCCACCAACCATGGTACCAATAGTATCGGTATACTGATCGGATATGGCAATGGGACTTTTGAAAATGTACATCTCCATTCGCTTGGTTCTTCGCGACCAGTGTCGGCTGCTGTTGCTGATTTGAACAAGGATACCTTCCTTGATATAATCGTTGCAAATTACGACACTAGCAGTATAGCCATCTTACTTGGGTATGGCAACGCATCCTTTTTTATCCAAATGAAATATTCAACTGGTTACGACTCTCTCCCGTATTCTGTCGTTGTTGCTGATTTGAACAGAGACAATAAGTTAGATCTGGTTATCTCGAACTCGGGTACTAGCAATGTAGCTGTGTTTCTGGGACATGGCAATGGATCGTTCTCACACGAAAAGATATATTCAACTGGAGCTCGTTCGCGACCATTCGCAGTTGTCATTGATGATTTGAACGACGACAATCTACTGGATATTGTCGTCGCCAATTATGGAACTTCCACTGTAGGTGTTCTTCTTGGCTATGGTGATGGAACATTTGCAAGGATAAAAATATCTTTCGTTGACTCTGAATTTTGTCCTTTTTCCATCGTTATTAGGGATTTTAATAAAGACAATATACTTGATGTGGCCGCAGCCAATCCTGATAACGATCATATTGTTGTACTTCGTGGATTAGGCAATGGGACGTTTTCAAGTGACGAGATATATTCGACTGGCTTTGGCTCGAATCCGGTTTCTATCGTGGCTGGTGATTTCAACCATGACAATCAATTAGATTTTGCCACGGTCAATAATGGCACTAACAATGTGGCAGTATTTCTTAGATATGCCATTAAAATGTTTGCAAATCAAACAACGTATTCAACTGGTTATAATTCTCAACCTCGCTGGGTCGCTCTGGGTGACTTTAACAATGATAGTCTGCTGGATATTGCTGTTGCTAATACCAAATCGTTTAGTGTGAGTATATTTCTTGGTTATGGCAATGGGACTTTTACGGCACAAAATACTTTTTCAGATGGAAGTAGTTCACGTCCATACTTCATCGCTGTAGGTGATTTTAACAATGACAGTGCGCTCGATCTCGCTGTTGCCAATTCCGGTACTAATAATGTAGCCATCCTTTTTGGATATGGTAATGGATCTTTTGGAAGGCGTGCGATATATTCGACTGGTCCTCGTTCTTCTCCTCACTCCATCGCTCTGAATGACTTTAACAGCGACAGTTTGCTCGATATCGCTGTCGCCAATTATGGTACTGACAATATAGGCATACTTCTCGGATACAGCAATGGGACTTTTACAGCACAAACAACATTTTCTACTGGGAATGGTTCTTTACCTGTTTCGATAGCTCTTGGTGACTTTAACAACGACAGTCTACTCGATATCACTGTCGCTAATCTCGGTACTAATAATGTAGGCATACTTCTTGGAGATGGTAATGGAACGTTTAGAAATCAGATGTCATTTGCAACTGGGGGAAACTCTGGTCCATCGTCGGTCAGCGTAAGTGACTTAAACAACGACAGTATGCTCGATATTGCTGTCACCAACCTTGTGGATGACAATGTAGGCATACTCTTTGGATGCGCCAACGGAAGCTTTGAGAATGTGATGACATATTCCGTCGGGTATGGTTCTAACCCAATATCACTAACGTTTGGAGATTTCAATAATGATAATGTAATTGATATTGTCGTGACGAATTATGGCAGTAATAACATAGGTCTTCTTTTTGGATATGGCGACGGAACTTTTGGAATGTTAATGACCTATTCAACAGGTGTTGGTTCTTCTCCAACGTCGATTGTGGCTGGTAACTTTAACTGCGATATTTGGCTAGATATTGTCGTCTCTAATGTTCTTGGAGATAATGTTGGTGTGCTTCTAGGGCATGATAACATGTATGCAGCTACGAAATCAAGCTATTCAACTGGTACTGGTTCCCGTCCATACTCTGTTTTAGTTAGTGATTTCAACAATGATACTGTACTTGATCTCGTGATTGTCAATTCAGCACATGATAATGTTGGTATTCGTTTAGGATATGGGGACGGAACTTTCGCCAACGAAACCACATATCCTACAGAGGTCGGTTCACGTACTCAATATGCTACTTTAGGAGATTTCAATAATGACAATCAAGTCGATATCGCCATCGCCAATAATATGAAGGACAGTGTAACTGTGATTTTTGGATGTGGTAATGGAACTTTCACAAATCCAGAAATATATCCTACTGGACAAGGTTCCCATCCATACCTTGCTGCCGTTGGTGACTTTAATAACGATAGTCGACAGGATCTTACCATCTTGAATCAGGGCACTGGCACTGTTGGAGTTTTTCTCTCTTTCGACTATGCAACATTTAGAAATCAAAACGTATCTGCAACTGGTGTACTTTCCTATCCGCAATCGGTCGCCGTCGGGGATTTCAACAATGACAGCTTCTTGAATGTTGTCGTCGCCAATTATGGCAGTAGTAATATCGGCATATTTCTCGGTATGGGTAATGGAATGTTTACAGCACAAAGGACACTTTCAACTGGAAGTCGTTCTGCTCCTTACACGGTAGCTGTCAGTGACTTTAATAAAGACAGTCTGCTCGATATTGTTGTTGGTAATACCGGTACGAACAATGTGGGCATATTTCTTGGATATGGCAATGGAACTTTTACAGCACAAACGATATTTTCAATTGGAGGTGGTTCTAATCCTCGTTCGATCGCTGTAACTGACTTTAATAAAGACAGTCTACTCGATATCGCTGTCGTTAATTCCGCTACTAGTAATGTAGCCATACTTCTCGGCTATGGGAATGGAACTTTCCGATATCATATATCATTGGGAACTGGGACAAAATCTAGTCCTCATTCAATCACTGTAGGTGACTTTAACAATGACCATCTGGTTGATATTGCTGTTGCCAATACCAAGACTGACAACATAGGTATATTTCTTGGATATGACAACGGAACTTTTGCAGTACAAATGACATTTTCTACTGGCGCTGATTCTTTTCCTCAATCAGTTACTGTAGGTGATTTTAACAACGACAGTCTACTCGATATCGCTGTGGTCAACTATCTTAGTAGCAATATAGGCATATTTATTGGATATGGCAATGGCACTTTTACACCCCAAACGACATATTCAACAGAAAATGGTTCCCTTCCGATGATGCTTACGGCCAGTGATCTGAACAATGACAATAGACTGGATATTGCTGTTGTTAATTATGGCGCTAATAATGTGGGGATCTTCTTTGGATATGGTGACGGAAGTTTTACTGATCCAATATTATTTTCAACTGGAAGTGGTTCTCAATCAGATGCAATTGCAATTGGGGATTTCAACAACGACAATCGATCGGATATTGTGGTGACCAATTATTTGGATGGTAGTGTTATGGTACTTCTTCGAGATAGTAGTCAACCTTTTCTAACCATGACAACATATTCAACTGGCAATGATTCTCGTTCACAATCTATGGCTATTGCGGATTTCAACAATGATTACCACCTAGATATTATTGTTGCCAACTATGGCAACGATAATATTGGTATACTATTTGGGTATGGTAATGGAGCTTTTATGCCACAAACGACATACACAACTGGAAATGATTCCCAACCATGCTCAGTCGCCGTTGGTGATTTCAATAATGACGGCCTATCAGACATCGTCGTTGTCAATGCTGGTAGAAATAATGTCGGTATAATTCTCGGGTGCGGAAATGGAACGTTCTCTTCTCTAACGGCATATTCAATTGACAATTCTTCCGCCCCATCCTCGATAGCTGTGGCTGACTTCAACAATGATAATTGTCTTGACGTCACCGTCGTCAGTTCTAGTTCTCAAAATATACATGTATTATTTGGAGATTGTAATGGAACTTTTGAAAATCCGAGGTCATATTTACTGGGTTATCATTCTTCTCCATATTCGTTGGCTATCGGTGTTTTCAATAAAGACAGTTGGATCGATATAGCGGTGGCAAATTACGGTGCTGATACTGTAGACATTGTTTTGCAACAATGTGACAATACCTAACTTATACTGGGTGTGGATGTAACCGTGGATTGTAATTTTATGTTCACACCCGCATCCGCTTGTATAGAAATTTTGAGCTTTTTAATTGACTATAACTTTAACTAACTACATGTTTCTGATCATTAAAAACAACTTGATGTTGTGTTTTGCTGATAATATCAGAACATTAATATAATGAAACCGCAACGCATATCTGAGTTATTTGAATCTGTAGCGACATAATTTCGCAAACTAAAGATGAATTTGTCCCTGGACTTTGGAATTTCTTCCAGCTAATCGTTATGTAACTGATGTGGTTGCTATCCATTTAGAAAAATAGTGTGCTCCACTGTTTTTTGAAAAATAAAAAAAAAAATAGCTAGAGATCTGCAAATTTTCACCAATTGATAGAGAGCAGTGGGAGGCACAAATCTATAAAAGATACAAGGAACTAACATACTTTGAAGCTTATGTATTTTCTGAGCCTTTCGAAGATCAGGTGATAAGGTTATGACATCGTCTAGCAATCTGCATAAGACCGATTTCGACAGCTGTGATGGTGGAAGAAATAAACCACTTGTACTGAGTTTACATATCTTTTACCTGGCTGATTAGATTTCTGTGAAAACAGCTACAAGTATACAATCTAAAAAAAATCGGTTTTCTACCGAACCTGGAAAATTCTGCATTTCTACATCGAACGATTTTAGCTTTCGTGGAGCACAAATCGTTTCGTGGCTTTTTTTCAGAACTATCTTAAGTTCAGTATATTTCATAGAGTTTCGCAATTTTGCGGCGGAACCTTTTGTAAGTTCCGCAAAGTGGTTTGTGGTATCGTACGTCATGTACGAATCCTTTGATAGTTTCATAACACTGCAGAAGGTTTCGTACTATGCCGACGAAACCGTTGACGGTTTCGTAAACTGTGGAAAGGTTTGGTATATTTTTTATTTACGAAACGACTGATAGTTTCGTGCAAGTTACAAAGGTTTTGTATTATTTGTGCAGAACTTTTCGACACTTTCTAATCTGCTGGAAGATTTGGTATATTTTAAACCAAACGATTGATGGTATCGTTAACGATCCGAAGGTTTTGCATTATTTGTGCTTATCGTTTCGACACTTTCTACTCGACTTTAAGGTTTGGTACATTTTATTCGAAACGATTGATAGTTTCGTAAATTATCTGAAGGTGTTGCACTTTTCTTATTAAATCTTGCATGGTTTCATTAAGTAGTTTAATACATTTCCTATACTTCGTACGAAAGAGTATGTAATTCTGAGTACTACCGAAAGTTTTTTTGCTTTCTCTTACTCGCGAAGAGTTTAGTATTACTTTCAGTATCGGTCTCAATTAAGAACATGTACTTCACACAGAAGTATTAAAGTCGCAGCCAACCTTACCATTAACATTTGTACGGATTACACAGAAGGTGGCGGAGAAATGGCTGTGCGTACTTCTCAAGAACAAATAAAATTGAACAATCAAACCACAAGAGAACTCAAATAACGATACAGAAAACACGAAGGTTTTTTAGACAATCGAGAAATAGTTAACATAATATAGAGTTGTGTGAACAAAATGTCTAGCAATCAAACAAATAAAACAAAATTGGCGAAAATTCAAAATTTGAGTAAAATTGTTTTTTCCAGGATTTGTTTATGGTTGGATAGAGCTCATCAGATTGTATAGGAAAATGTGTTTAAAATTTTTTTTCGTGATTTATTTCAGCAAAATAATCAAAATACTTTGAACGCTTCACGCTATCCACAAATTGCTTACTTTTCTCAAACGATGTTTCGTTCTCTGTTTTCTTCATCTTCACAAATTTATGAGTATTGTTTTATTAATCAGCATAAAAAACTGACTATAATTCGTTACTTTTGATCTCACTCATATATAATGTGATTAATTTTTTCCTATGTATGAATTACTATACATAGATGTCGCTAATATACTTTCTTTATGTATCTAGTTTTGCTTAACAAGATATAACGGCAAGTTCCGTACATCATTCAAACCAGCTCTGCAGAGCCAACAAATCGATGTATAGACTTTTTCGTTTTACTTTACTTTATTCAAAAAATCTTCTATTTTTCAAAATTTTCATCCAATAGACAATTTTGCTTTGCATAGAGATCAAACTGTTCATTCAAATTTCGTTCATACACATATGCCGTTATTTTTCATTTGTTGCAATCGATCTATATCATTTTCGACATATCTGCACGTTTAGAAACGCTTTTTACTTCGTCCTTTTAAACTTAAATTAGAATTTCAAGAATATTGATTCGAAGTTGATTTTTTCCATCTGTAGTAATTATGATATATCTCGTTGAACTCATTCATTCAGCGGTTTTCCAATGCCAAAACGAAGCCAACAACGAACCGGGTTAGGAAAAGCCGCCAAACTACGTCGGTCTATGAAAAATATTTTAATAAAAGATGCTATTGACAAGTAACGCTCGTCGCTGCGACTCGCTTAACCCTCGACTGAAGAGTTTAAAGCAACAATATACTATTCTACGTTACCCGGGCAAACTTTGAGAATATCAAAAGTACCAAATTGCCTCTGCCACAATAATGTTATAATTGACTTTCAAAGTATGCTCATCTTCAAATGATAGTAATATCTGCATATAAAATTGCTATTTCGCGCTAACGTTTTGATTAAGTGAAATCTTACAAATGTATGTATCGTAAAATTCTGATTTGTATATCGCGGCAGTTACAACAATATCTTGAAATACTCTGAGATTTTTAATATGAAAACAATGTGTCTTTCAACAAAAACTTATTCAGAATATGAAACAGCGACCACTCATACTAGCGTTAGCTGATAAAGGCATTTGTTAACACAAGTATTATTCTACGAGGCAATAGTAATGAACTGAAAGAAGTTGATTTCAATTGTCAGAACTGGATATGGTTCTCCTAGACTTATTCGAATGCATCTCAGCCAGAATACATTTATACCAAAATATTAGCTGTAAAAAGTGCTTAAAATGGAACATGATTTCATTGTCGAATTTATGGGCCATCCTAGCCACATGATACCATAAAATGATTTAATTAGGAGTATGAGGTAGTATTGGGTGTGGGTGTGGTGAGTGCGGGTGTAAGTGTGGGTGTGGGTGCGAGTGCGGGTGTGGGTGTGGGTGTGGGCGTGGGTGTGCGGGTGGGTGTGCGGGTGGGTGAATTTTGGCTACGATTCATGTATCCACAACACCCACACCCCACACCCACACCCACACCTGCACACCCACACCCACACCCACACCTGCACACCCACACCCACACCCACACCCACACCCACACCCACACCCACACCCACACCCACACCCACACCCACACCCACACCCACACCCCACACCCACACCTGCACACCCACACCCACACCCAC